ATTTGTTTAGTCTATATGGATGACATCATTGTTTACTCCACTTCTCTCCAAGAACACATCAAAAATTTGAAAAGAATATTCCAAAGATTGGAGCAGTTCAATCTGAAAATTCAACTAGACAAGTCAGAATTTCTGAAGAAAACAGTCGAATTTTTAGGTCATGTCATAACCCCCGAAGGAATTAAACCAAACCCGAAAAAAATTGACGCCATCAAGAAATTTTCAATTCCCAAGACCACCAAAGAGATCAAATCATTCTTAGGATTGATTGGCTACTATCGGAAATTCATCAAAAACTTTGCCAAAATCACCAAGCCTATGATGTTATGTTTAAAAAAGGATAAGAAAATAGTTCACAACTCTGAATTTATTCATAGTTTTGAAACTTGCAAAAATCTTCTCATGAATGACCCTATTTTACAACATCCAGATTTTACCAAACCTTTCCTATTAACTACAGACGCATCTAACTATGCTATTGGCGCTGTACTATCACAAGGACCAATAGGTTCCGACCTTCCTATTGCGTATGCAAGTCGCACACTAAATCCCGCTGAATGCAATTATTCAACGATAGAGAAAGAATTGTTAGCAAGAGTATGGGCAACCAAGTATTTTAGACCCTACTTGTTTGGACAAAAATTCACGATACTATCAGACCATAAACCACTCGAATGGTTATTTTCCGTGAAAGACCCTGGCTCTAAGTTAGTCAGATGGAGACTCAAACTAGACGAATTTGATTATACAATCAAGTATAAAAAAGGAACCTTGAACATGAATGCTGATGCATTATCTAGACCCCCTTTACAGATCAATGCCATCTCTCATACGTCAAGCTCACGCACCGAATCAGACTCTGACGAAAAATTCCACAAAACCCTAGGAGCAATCCTAAAAGATACCCCTTTAAATAACGACGAAATATTACGAAAATATTTCGAAGGTACTAATCTTTTCATGCCCTAAAAACCGAAATTACCTATCGGAAAAGGCGAAGAAATAAGAATAAATGATGAACACGAAAACAAGTCACTTTCAGAATCTACTATATCAGCTGATTCTCCTCGTAACTCACCTCGTGAAATCACTGTACCACAAAAGCCACCTCCGAAATTTAAAATACTGTCCCAAATCATCTTACCACCAAGACAAGCTCAAGCAAATCTTCCACAAGATGTACAAAGAATTCCTACGTCACTTGAAAATCCTATTTCACCAAGACGACCTCAGGGAAATTCTCCAGAAGATGCACAAACTATTCATACATCACTGGAGAATCCTATTTTAGGAGCTCCCTATACCAAAAAACATATCAACCTATTTCCTAATCAAGTAATTTTTAGGTATTCGAATAACAATACCATTCGAAAAGAAATAATCACACCTTTCCCAAACAAAAAGAGATTAACATTCTTCTTGCCAAACGACCCTTCAGACCTACAAATCATCACACTAATAAAAGAATATATGTCACCTAATACATATTGTATGTTTTTCTACAATAAAACTCTAGAGCCCATAGTCTTACGAGTTTTACAAACATCGTTTAATTCTAATTCCTTCAAACTGTTAATTTCCAATTCTTTCGTAGAGGACATTACAGACCCTGAAGAACAGAAAGAAAAGATTCAAATGTTTCACGATACTACTGGCCCAACCTTGAAAAAGACGTTCAAGCATACATAAAAGCATGTGAGATATGCAACAAAACAAAGTACGAAAGGCAACCCTACAAAATAATTTTCAAGCCTACCCCTATTGGATCAAGACCCTTCGAACATCTCTATATCGATACCTATACTGTTTCGAATGAAAAGTTCTTAGCAATAATTGACAGCTTTTCAAAGTTCGCTCAAGCTCTTCCTATCACTAGCAAGACATCCGTTGAAATTATAGCCCAGCTATTAAAATATTTCAGTAATCACGGAATACCCCAAAGAATCACCTCCGACAATGGAGCTGAATTCAAAAATGCAATGATGACCGATCTATGTACCTTACATAAGATTGAGTTTCATTACACGACCCCAAGAAGTCCGAACTCTAACAGTCAAATCGAAAGGCTACACTCTACTTTACGAGAAAGTATAACCAGCCTGAGGTTGCAAAATCCACGTAAAAGCATAAACGATCTCATGATTGTTGCTATTCTAAATTACAATAATAGCATACACAGTGTCACAGGATACATCCCATTCCAAATAATCAAAGGAGATTTAAACTATGCGATTCCCATCGAACATTCACAAAACAAAATAACGACGGATTATATCAATAATCTCGCTGACTGTTTAGAAACTCTAAATAACGTTATTCACGACAAACTAATAACAAAACAAACGCAAAATTTAGAGAAGATCAATAAAAAGCGCGAAACAGAACCCCAACTTGAGCAACCTATTTTTATCAAACAATTCGATAGAAATAAAACAAGCCCTCGATATGACGTCAATACTCAATTACGATTTAGTAAACAAAACATAAAACGACAACCTAAACAACCAAAACAATTTGTTTCAGACCAACCGAAATGTTCCTGGCAACATTCGTCATCCTCATCATCGTAGGAACCACAACCAATTCTTACATATTAACACCAGTAGAAAACCCTATATTACCAATATCTATAGGAACGACCTACATAACAAACGATCATAATACTGCATACTACCATATTAATACAACTATTATAAAGAAAAGTATTAGAAATCTTGAAATAACGCTTAAGAACTTAAACAGTACTTTAAACCAAACTGCATGGTCTAAAGGCTATATTGCTGCTTTATTCGAAGCAAATATTGAAATAAGTCAATCCCGAATTGATTCAATAAAGAAGTTCTTAAAGCAATTTTCTTCGCGAAAACGAAGTAAGCGCGGAATCTTGAATTTTGTGGGAACAGCACAGAAATGGCTGTATGGAACACTTGACGCCGAAGACGGTGCTAGATATGACTCATACATTCAAACGTTGAACGAAAATCAACAAACAATCAATGAAAATTTGAAAGATCAAGCACAAATTCTTAAACAAGTAACGAAGACCTTTCATGACCAATTTCTAAACATAGAGAACAATCAAGTTATTATTTCTCAGAGAATTAAAAATATTTCTGCGAATAATCAGAACCTCCAGACGATTATAACTTTGAACCTGATACTTGATAACATTAATATGCATAGTAGCAAAATACGAGATCTGATAAATCATATACAACTCGCTATCAACTTTGCACAATCAGGCATTATGCTTATACTATATTGCAGCACAATGAACTCAACCAGATTCTTAAAAACATACCCAAGAATCAGCAAATCCCATTGGACAACGTAATAAAGTATTACGAAACAATGTCGACAACAGTAAGCATTCAAAAGGAATTGATTATTTTTACAATCTATACACCAAAAATAAATCCAAAACCTTTTTTGATGTATAAACTCTAACCTATTCCTATCCAGAATTATACCATTAATATTAAGCATCCCTATTTGTTACTTACAACAGACACGTACTTTAATGCTTTAAATGAATGCCCTAATGTCGAAGGTGTATACTTGTGTAATTTTGAGATATTAACCCAAAACGAGCCCTGTGTTCACAGTATTATTAATAGTGAACAACAAACATGTCCTTTCTTGAAAATCGACTATGAAGAACCGACAATTCAAGAACTACCTAACAATCAGTTATTGTTAATTCCCAAAAGAAGTTTGACAGCAGTTATGGAGTGCAATCAAAAGAAGTACATCGAGATAATTGCCAGTCCTACTCTAATCTCCAGAAGAAAATGTTCAGTGACTCTCAATAATCACACATTTTCCGAAGACATTAAAGAAAACTTCAATTTGGAACTCAAGATACCGAAAATAGACATTCCTATTTTTCCCGAAAACATCACGACGGTCAAACTGAAGACAGTAGACCATGAAGCCCTTCAAGAAGCTCTACAAGAAGCTTCGCGACTTGAAGTTCGACCCTTAAAAGAGTTAACCTTTGTAAATAACCATATATCCAGTTATGTTATAATTATTTTAATCGTTATTTTCATAATTATTATAACCATTTTTTATTGTAAACATAAATTTAGGAAAAATGTGAAAACTGAGGTTCAAATTGAGTTGCCTAACTTGGTACATCAACCCCAATTTGCAACCACCTAAGGAGGGAGGAATTATATTGGAACTCAATAAAGACCCTTTTGTTCTCCCGAAACAATAATATGTAACTTGCTTATGCCAGCATTTATTTTATTATAAAATACGCTTGCAGCTATTGTTTTCCATTCATTTACTCTCGAGATTTCCACGCAGTAATTTGTCTCATTTAGATTAAGTTTAAAGTTTTCATTTGTAATACTTAGTTTTGAAAATAAATGTTTTTTAAAAACAAAGTTTACTGAAGTGGAAACTTATTTAAGGTGCAAATCTTAGACCGTACAAATATATTCAATATTTTCAATTAGGATAAATAAAAAGCATTTCTACATGTAAATATAAAGTGAATTGTATCAATTGTATTGAATTGTATATATTGCAATCAGAATGAATTATATCATCAAACAAATTAAAAACTTACTGGGTGTTCTACTTAGAAAATACCATTTGTGTGCTCAACTGTCAAAATAGGTATATTAGTCTTCTGTTTTTTGTTCAAAATAATCTAAAACTTGGAAAACAAACCTACAGTATGATTTTTTTATATATTTAAATAATTTCAAAATTCAAAAATAAAGAAATTATGATAGTTTAAAATGTTATCAAGATAAAATGATCACACCAAAATATCTAAAAAAAAAACACTACCCTATTCTGAAAATTCTTGACTTAAAATGTTTACAATTTGTATCCTTTTATGGGTATGTTCCTTAGCTCCCATCTCAGATAAGGACATTGCAACATATTGGCCAAAAGCAACATTTTTGTCTGTTTTTTTTTTTTCCTCCATAAATTTGGACAATGACTCAAGGGTGGCACCTATCATTGACTGGTTAACCACATCACTGTCCTTTTTTTTTATGCCCTGTAGGAAGTACATCTGCCTGTTCTGTCATCGACTGGTTTAAGTCAATTTTCTTGAGTTGAGTCGGTTTAGGACTCGGTTTAGGACTTGGTTTGGGATGTACAATAATTGTAGTAGGAGTTGATGATGTTCCAGGCTGCGGTTGCTGCTGTACTTCTTCTAGAGCAGAAAAGTTCAGCCGGATTTTTTTTTCTCCTGTAGATTGATTCCATGATGATTGTTGTGATTGTTGTAATTGCTGTGATTCTTGTGATTGCTGTGAATCTTCGTTTCTTTCTTCAAATATGGTGCTCATGTTGTCCCACATACTACTGTCTACAGTGGATTCTGTCGGTGAGATATTAGGAGTTGATACTTTGAATGCCACATTTGATGTCCTCCTGAAAATTAGTTTATTACTATTATTAAAATCCTGTTAGGTATTAGAAAATAAATTAAGTTACGCCCATCAAACAATGTGTTGTAATATTGTTACTCAATAACATAATACATAATATACAATACATTTAATTGAGAGGCGGATAGATCATATACCTACATACTTCCCGGTTGCTATGTGCTTGTCCAAAAAACTCATTGCTCTGTAAAGAGGCCACATTGCTTCTGGAGCCTGCGATCCAGATGGCAGATTTTTATCATTCCTCTTTTCTTTAACATAGCGCTCCCTCAAATTTTTCCACATTTTTTTAACATCATTTTCTGAAAAAGTTTACTTATTTATTTTTATTATAATTACCTAGCTAACAATACAATATACAGAGTTCTAATTACCATTATAATAAATAAAAATGGTATTCTAAAAAATAATTTGAAAAAATTTACAATTAATTGTAGACAAAAACAAAAAAATTAATGTTCAGAAGTAGGTACCCTACTTAATATGAAGTAATCAACAAACGCAGAAAAAATGCCACAACTTTTTTTCATTTATTTTAAATTTAAATAAAGAATTTAGTTTCAGTTATTTTTGAAATTTGATATACAAATGCTGTGGTAATGGTTAAAAGCAAAGTAAAAGCAATAAAATATAATAAATGAAATAGTCAATTTAAAAAAATTTATTTACCTGACATTGCAATTGCAGAAGCAATTATCCCCCATGCATTTTCTTTGATGTTATTATCCTCTAATTCCTTTCTAGTTTTGTCGTATAAAAAGGAATAATGTTGGATCAAGTCAATCAAAATACTTTCTTGTTCAAAATTTTCCATTATTAGTACTGCACTTTCTTATTTAACTCTGTCTTCTCTGGTATAAGATATAGGTAAGACTGAAAGATACTTTGTATTTCCCGAGGGGGATTTCAGTAGTGGAATTGTGTACACTAAATTACCACTTCTCACAGAAATTACCACAAATTACCAGTAATTACCTTCAAATTACCACTTTTTTCCTCTATTACCTTTCATTGCCTCAGGAATTACCACTCAATGCCACTCAACTTACCACTTATTACCTCTTATTTCCGCTAAATACCACTAATTACCACTGTTAATACCACTAATTACCACTGTCATTACCATTAATTGCCACTGAAATTACCATTATATACCAGGAATTTATTTCAATTTTCAAGTACCTACACCCGAGACTAGAACTCAATAACAAATCGAGATGTTAAAAGAAGAGCAAATCAAGATGTTGAAAGTTGAAAAAACGAGATACTCAAGAAGGCATTATAACATGTCTCGAAGAAAAAAGGATTCCAAAATCCTGCAAAAACTCAAGTTTCATCTTCTATAGAAACTGGATAAAAATCATGTGATTGATGATGAACGAACAAATGATGTTAAAAGAAGAGCAAATCAAGATATTGAAAGTTGAGAAAGAGAAACACTCAAGGAGGCATTTCAAAATGCCTCGAAGAAAAAAGGATTCCAAAATCCTGCAAAACTCAAGTTCCATCTTCTAGAATCTGGATAAAAATCATTTGATTGATGTTGAAGGAACAAATCGAGATGTTAAAAGAAAAGCAAATCAAGATGTTGAAAGTTAAAATAGACAAAAACGCAAGGAGGCATTCCAACATGTCTCGAAGAAAAAAGGATTCCAAAATCCAGCAAAAATTCAAGTTCCATCTTCAAGAAACCGGATAAATATCATTTGATTGATGTTGAAGGAGCAACTCGAGATGTTTAAAGAAGAGCAAATCAAGATGTTGAAAGTTGAAAAAGAGAGAGACACTCAAGGAGGCATTCCAACATGTCTCGAAAAAAAAAGGATTCCAAAATACTGCAAAGCAAAAACTAAAGTTCTCGCTTCTAGAAACTGGATAAAAATCATTTGATTGATGTTGAAGGAACAAATCGCGATGTTAAAAGAAGAGCAAATCAAAATGTTCAAAGTTGAAAAAGAGAAACACTCAAGGCATTTCAACATGTCTCGAAGAAAAAAGGATTCCAAAATCCTGGAAAACTCAAGTTCAATTTCCTAGAAACTGGATAAAAACCATTTGATTGATGTTGAAGGAACAGATCGAGATGTTAAAAGAAGAGCAAATCAAGATGTTGAAAATTGAAAAAGAGAGACACTCAAAAAGGCATTCCATCGTGTCTCGAAGAAAAAAGGATTCCAAAATCCCGCAAAGCAAAAACTAAAGTTCCAGCTTCTAGGAACTGGATAAAAATCATTTGATTGATGTTGAACGAACAAATCGAGATGGTAAAAGAAGAGCAAATCAAAATGTTCAAAGTTGAAAAAGAGAAACACTCGAGGAGGCATTTCAACATGTCTCGAAGAAAAAAGGATTCCAAAATCATGGAAAACTCAAGTTCAATCTTCTAGAAACTGGATAAAAATCATTTGATTGATGTTAAAGGAACAAATCGAAATGTTAAAAAAAGAGCAAATCAATATGTTGAAAGTTGAAAAAGGCAGACACTCAGGGAGGTATTTCAACATGTCTCGAAAAACAAGGATTGCAAAGTCCTGCAAAAACTGAAGTTTCATCTTCTAGAAACTGTATAAAAATTATTTGATTGATGATGAACGAACAAATGGAGATGTTGAAGGAAGAGCAAATTAAGATGTTGAAAGTTGAAAAAGAGAAACACTCAAGGAGGCACTTCAACATGTCTCGAAGAAAAAAGGATTCCAAAATCCTGCAAAACTTAGGTTCCATCTTCTAGAAACTGGATAAAAATCATTTGATTCATGTTAAAGGAACAAACCGAGTTCACCATCAGCGACTTTAGAACATTCCGACACTATTTCGGATGCCATCTAGAATACGAAAATATGAAAAAATACGAAATTTCACACGCCCTTGCAGTTCCTCACACATATTTGCGTATTTGGCTCGGTATTTGGCATCCATCTAGGATAGGTGAAAATCTTGAAAATTGAAACTTGAGAAATAGAGAAATGGAAACACATAAACACCTAAAATAATATTTGTAGCTATTTGCCGAATGTGTGATAGAGGCTTAAGGTATTATAATAATATAACAAGAATGTACTCTATCATATTTACCTTTTCTTTTAGATTTAGAAACACTAAAACACAAAACTGGGCCTTGAATGAGACGAAGACTTGAAAGTTTTAAAATGAGCAGTAAAAACGACGTTCATAGATGATGTCAAACCAAGTGTTGAACAATTGCAAGGTTGCCAATTCTCATATAATGAAACCTCAAATGGAACATTCCTTAGAAAATTAAGGTTGATGTTTCTAACTGACTAATAGGGACTCAGTAGAATATTTTACTCAAATCTTAGTTAAATAGTTTACAGTTAAAGCTCTGTTACTTCTAAATTAAAGAAAATTCGAAGACATATCATAATTTTATCACTACATAACTTTGAGGTATTACCACAAAATTTCCTTTAATTACCCCCAAAATTGCCTCAAATTACCAAAAATTACCCCGAATTACCACTATATTTCCACTAATTTCCACTAAATACCAGTCATTACCACTCATTTCCAGTCATTACCACTCATTTCCCGTGAAATTTCCACTAATTACCACGATTGTGTTATGTGTACACTAAATTACCACAATGAAATCCCCCTCGGTATTTCCATTTCTGTAGGGGTTGATCATGTTTGTGGGTCTATTATAAAAGTATGGGGTTTCCAAAAGGGTAGGCGTCAGCATAGTAATAAAAGAACCCTGTCTTCGTCTAGAGCCCAGACTAATTTATTCATGATCGATAAAAACCATTTCAAGTTAGGCAGGTAAACTAGCAGGTAAACTAACTAGAATCTACACTATACATCAGTGAATTAAGTTCCACGACCAACGGAGTGACTTTTAAAAAAGTTTTATTTTTCGAAATAAAGGCCTTAACTAGTTTACAATACGTTTCTTAACTAAGGTGAACAATCAATTACGAACAGCAGCGAGCTTTGACACGAAATCAATGTTACATATTAAACACAATCAATTCTTTTTATGAAAACAAAATGTACATTCAGCATTATTAATAATAACATTAAATATAGCCTAGTTCACGGATATTTCTTCTCCACCCTTAGAATTTTCAACGTCCTCGTTGATTATCTTCTCCAGAGTTTTTATAGGGATGGTTTTCAAATATTGGTGTTTTCTCCACTGATATATTAGGATGCTTAAACCGCATACAAGCAGGATACAGATTGTCGTTAAAATGAAGTAGTGACTTTGTTTTGGGGCAAGGTTTTCGAAGTCAATTGGCTCCAGAAGGTCTTCTTGAATTTTGGTTGGATCCTCCAAGTGTCTGATTTGTAAGTTGATGGAAAAATTACTTGACTGGAGATCTGTCGCTGTTGGATAATCAATGGAAATGTTGTTGATGGCCAATGAGTACTTTTGTTGGCTGATTATGACATCACACTGACTTTGAATGATGGAACAATCCTGAAGATTTGCTTTTTGGAACTGGAAGCAGTCTTCGAAAACTGTTTCTGATGTTTTTGTACAGAACAGTAGAGATTTTTTGTGAGTAAGGGTGTGGACTTGATAATTATTTTGTACGGTGGCATATTGACAATTTTTGGGCAATGAGCAGTCGCTGACAAGTGGGTTGGAGCATATCCATCTGGAGTTGATTTCTTCACAGTTTTTATACCATAGGTCGTTGCAATAGAATTTACTAGGACTAATCAATATTTTGGATTCGTTATTCGGTATAGGGTATACAATATTTAAGTTACATAATTTTTTCTCAAAAATTGGTATCCTTATTGCAAGAATTGCCATTTCATCTAAGATCAAGAGACCAGTTTTGCAAATTAAAGTTAATTCTGAAACATGTTTTATAGACCATAGGGCGTTTTTAGGATAATGAATATTCAAGTATTGCCAAATTTCGTTTATTTCGTTCAGGCTCAGAATTTCTAGATCTAAAGTCTGCAGATGTGCAAAAGAAAAAATTCGTAAGAGTTTTTCTAAAAATTGATTTAGGTTGGTAATTTGTATGTATAAATCTTGTAGTGATAAAATTAGATTTACTTCGTTACTAAGTTTCGAAAATTCAGAGCGAATTGCCTGAGAGTTTTTATTTATTATTTTTATGTTTTCCTCAAATTTATTCATAATATTACCAGCAAATGAACTAAGGTCATTGATCTTATGCATTGAGTTTATTTGATTGTGCTGAAGTATTTCTAAATTCTGTGTAATAGTGTCTAAGTCATCATTGTCTAAGTTTCCTGTGACGAATTTGATGCCGCTGCCAAGGAAGTTCAATAACCCGCGTTTTTTACGATTATTGTTGATTTCATAAACATTCAATTTTGAGTATGTATCGTAAGTGTTATTCAATGCTTTAGATACATGGAAAAATTGGTTTTTTGTGAAATTATTATTTTGCCTGTTCACCATAGAGCCTAAAATAACAATATTGCTAAATAAGTTGGATAAAGTATACTTAATGCTAGAAATATTAAAAGGTATATATGTTGTATGGAAATGATCGATAATTAAGGAGGGTGATACTTCCTCAATATAGTAGATATTATTGGGAAGATTATAAACCTGAAGGGCCTGGCAAGGGTTCACTTGAGCTTGCAGGGTCAGGATCAGGATCGGGAGGCTGAAAAGGAACAAGATTCTTTCTTAGTCTCTTAATTTTCCTGATATGAGTAGTAGTTGGTTTTTTCTTAGAAATGCTTACCACTTTATTTTTATTTGTTGTCGTAACCCTTGTTGGTATATACTGGGGATTTATTTTATTTCTACTCAGAGGATTTTTCTTATAGACAATTTGATCTGTTCTTAAAATAGGA